AGAAACCAGAGGGCCAACACCCATGGGTATGGGGAGAGGAACAGGAGGAGGCATTTCAAGCTCTTAGGACTTGTCTTGCTGGACCACCTATCGTCAGTTATCCGGATTTCACCAAGCCATTTACCCTTCACACGGATGCTTCGGGACTTGGACTAGGAGCTGTATTATACCAGGAACAGAATGGAGTCAAGCGAGTTATAGCCTATGCTAGTCGAGGATTGACGAAAGCAGAGCATCGGTACCCCACACACAAGCTGGAGTTTCTTGCTCTCAAGTGGGCTGTCACGGACAAGTTTTCGGATTACCTCGTCGCTTGCCCATTCACAGTCTATACAGATAACAATCCGTTAACATATATTCTTACCTCCGCCAAGCTGGATGCAACATCACAGCGATGGGTTGCAGCCTTGGCCGCTTATGACTTCAGCATCCTGTACAGGCCAGGTGTGAGTAATGCTGATGCTGACGGGATGTCGCGTCATCCAACATTGCCCAATGAGGAGCCAGTAGTCATCTCCAAGGATATTATACAGGCTTTAAGCAACGGCATCAACGCTACTCCTTACATCGAGACTGTTGCTGTATCAGCACAAGCACTTGGAAAAATACAAGAGACTGCAGTGTTACAGCCAGTTCAGGGATTGAGGGAAGAGCAATTACAGGACCCTTTCACAGGCTTTTGGATTCAGTGTGTGGAGTCAGGACTTAAGCCTGCCAGACATGATCTGCCATCTGCAACTGGACACCAAGCGATGTTGAAGAACTTTGAGAAGTTTAAACTCATTGATGGTGTACTTTGCCGGGATATTATAGATGATGGCACTGCAAGGAGCCAGATAGTCCTTCCAAGAACTGTCATCCCCAAAATCCTCACCATGCTACATGATGACTTCGGACACCAGGGTCGGGACAGAACACTATCACTTGTGAGGGACAGGTATTTCTGGATAGGAATGACAAAGGATGTGGAGGGATGGATCAAGGACTGTTACAGGTGTCTTCTAAGGAAAACACCGGCGAGAGTCTGCACGCCGCTAGTATCCATCAAAACTTGCCAACCTATGGAACTAGTGTGTATGGATTTTCTTTCCTTGGAAACATCGAAGGGTGGCATCGAGAACATTCTTGTCATGACAGATACGCCATCGCAGTGCCTACTCGTAACATGACAGCGCGTACTACGGCGGAAGTATTTTTCAGTCACTTTGTGGTCCATTATGGTCTTCCCCGTAGGATACATTCAGATCAAGGACCCAACTTCGAAAGCAACATCTTGAAGGAACTCTGCAAGATCACTGGAGTTGAAAAGTCCCATACTACCCCTTACCATCCTATGGGAAATGGGCTCTGTGAACGGTTTAACCGTACTTTACTTGGAATGTTGGGGACACTGTCAGCTGAGCAGAAGATTAACTGGAAAGCTCATGTTTCAAGTATGGTACATGCGTACAACTGTACCCGCCAGGAATCAACAGGACAGAGCCCTTACTTCCTTATGTTTGGACGGAACCCCAGATTACCTGTCGATCTTGCGTTTGGTGTTGGGAGTGAGCAAGAAGGTGGTACCGTTTCTCAGTATGCCGAAGACCTGCGTCAGCGACTACGGCATGCCTATGAGTTGGCAGTAGCTCATTCCGACCAGGCCAAAGCCAGTCAGAAGAACAACTACGACAAGCGGGTCCGCGAAGCTGTACTGAATGTGGGAGATAGGGTGCTTGTCAAAATAGTCGCCTTTGAAGGAAGACATAAGCTGGCCAACCGATGGGAAGAAGATCCTTACATCGTGATAGAGCAGCCTCATCCTGGAATACCTTCCTATGTGGTACGGAGGGAAAACGGGGAGGGAAGAACAAGAACTCTCCATAGGAACCTTCTCTTACCCATAGGTTACCTGCACATGGACACAGCTCCACCCAAGCCACCAGAGAGGCCGGTTCCCACTCCTCGAGTGAGGAAACCCAGAGCGCCTGTTAGGGGAGAACCTTCTAGTGACGAAGGTTCCACTTCATCTTCGGAGGAGGAGGAAGTGGTAGTGGTTACGACTGATGTTCGACCCAACATCATTTCCGGACCAGCCACTACCACAGTGCCCGAGGATGTTGTGCATGAGCAGCAACCAGAAGAGATAGAAGAACCTGTTGAGCAACCCGAAGAATTGGAGCCACCAGCTGATCACCAGGCAAGTCCTGTGGCACCCAGACGGTCACTGAGGAGTCGGGCCAAACCCGCCTGGATGAGAGATGACCGATATGTGCTGAAACAGCAACTGGGTGAGCCTGAGTGGCGAAGTCGTGCCAGATTCCTTTCGGAACTAGTAGAAGTGGGATCTCTGGACAGACAGGATGACAGGGTTGTCTCTGCTCTTCTGAGTATTGTTGCTGGGAAGACTTGAGTTGTTCTGCCTTTTTGATTAATAGTTCCAGATTTTCTTGATTAATAGTTCCAGATTTTCTTGTTTTTAGATGATTTTATTATTATTTTCAGTTTTGCAGGAAAGTTTTTACATTTATGCTATGTAAGTAGCAGCATTCCTAGGAATGTCTTTAGTCGTGGACGACATTTTCCGAAGCAGGGGAGGATGTAACAGGGTTATTTGTTATTGTTTTTATTTAATATAATTACTTCATGTCGTAAGTACCAGCTTTCGCTTTGCCTATTTTATCGTTGACGTCGTTATATATATATATCCGCGTCCATCCGTGTCCGAAGGTGTGATTGCCTTTGGTGGCGTTAGTGTCATAGTGTTTTATTATGTCTTGTGTTCTGATTGGTCAGTTGGTGTGGTCATTGTGTTTGTTGTTCTTTGTGTGGTCAGTTGGCGGGAATTTGCCAGATGACAAGTTTGTTTTGGAACTAGCAGTTGTGCTATAGATCTGGCTCCGACAAAGACAGACGATTTAATAATGTGATCCTGATCCTCAGTTTATTGAGTGTGGTTCGACGATCATCGGCCCTGCACTACATGCAGGGTGTCGTCCTTATGATCGTAATAAATATACAGAACGAACTCCGGTGTTGTGACGTTTCTTGCAACCCCCGATTACATTGGCGCCCATGTAGGAACCCAGGAATAATACTTAGCCATGCCCCACCAGCATCACTGTAACCCCTGGAAACTCGAGGACGAGTTATTTCCTGGAGGGGGAGTATGTAACCCTGGTAAAATACTAGCCGCAATATACCACTCGGCTAGAGAGAACTTCTCTTTAGCTCGATTGGTTGAGCGTCAGACTAGTAAACCAGGGGTCCCGGGTTCGATTCCTAGCGGAGGCATTGTGATGAAAAATGACCTCTGTTACACACAGAAACTCATATAGTGGAACCTTGTTATCTCAATCTCGTTTAACTCAAAGACCCTGTATAATTTGAATATCCATTCCAGCAAAACTCTCCACTTGACATAAAATCTCACTTAAATCAAATACTCCTGTAAGTTTTCCTACAGTTCTGTCACCTTCTAAATACCAAAGTTCAATGGTGACTCCTTACTAACAAAGAAACCATTTCTACACTACTGACTTTAACATGCTTCAAAATGTATTTACAGTCACGGGTAAAACTGTTATAAGCAAAGCATGTTGTTCTTGAAATGGTCTAGAAAAAATACTTTATTATAATAATGAACTATGTCTTACCTGATGCCGACGCAGCTGATATGTCTATTTTCTTACAGGGTATGTTTGAGCCCTCCCCTCTCGCTGTGACCTCAAGAACAAGGTTACCATTCAGGTAGACCCACATGTCATCTCCACCCCCAACAGCAATGGTCTCATTTCCCTGGTACACAAATCCAGACCGAATAGCTGAAGTGAACCTGATGCAAAAAGACACAAAAGTTTTTAAACTATATGACAATATTTGGTAATTTAAAAAACAAATCGCCATGTGAAAATGCTTTAACATGACACATAGTTAATTTAAATAATTGCTAAAACAGGTCAAGAAAAAATCATTTAAACTGATACTTACAAATACAAATTATTTCAAAAGATTAAGAACTTATTACAGAATTCTAGCTGAGTCTTAACATAATGATTTGAAAGAACAGATAACAACAAGTTTAATCAGCATTTTACTCTATGAACACGATGCTATCAAACAATTTTGACAGGCTGTTACATTGTAACATGATTTCTTCTGATTTAGAAAGTATCAAACCATCTTATATCAAAATATAATACTTGAAGTGATACTTAAACATAATTGTCAGTGTTTCTTTACATTTTGAATACCATTATCTTTATATATAATGAAGCCAACACCTTTTATGGACATGCTGTTCCTGTGCTATATTCTCTAACATGACATCAGGATCAGCATTCTCACTATGTAATTAACTCAAAGTCATTCATCAGACAATAAATCTTATCTCAACATACCCTAAGTTATTGTCTTACCCTAAGTTATGGTCTTATTAACATACCCTAAGTGATGGTCTCATCATTAACATACCCTAAGTTATGGTCTTTTCATTAACATACCCTAAGTTATGGTCTTATTAACATACCCTAAGTGATGGTCTCATCATTAACATACCCTAAGTTATGGTCTCAACATTAACATACCCTAAGTTATGGTCTTCACCCAGACAATCCTTCTCGTTGTTACCATAGCCTGTTCCATCTACTGGGTAAAACTTGTCTGAAATATATCTACAACAGAATTCACAAAGAGGTATACACACAAAATTACTTACAAGATTAATTCTCCTCTGGGTGAGAAGGGTTATAGCTGTGATAGTGTATCATTTACCTGTGGATGGGAGGGGACTTGACAGTGATAGTTTATCATTTACCTGTGGGTGGGAGGGGACTTGACAGTGATAGTGTATCATTTACCTGTGGGTGGGAGGGGACTTGACAGTGATAGTGTATCATTTACCTGTGGGTGGGAGGAGACTTGACAGTGATTGTTTATCATTTATCTGTGCGTGGGAGGGGACTTGACAGTGATAGTGTATCATTTACCTGTGGGTGGGAGGGGACTTGACATTGATAGTTTATCATTTACCTGTGGGTGGGAGGAGACTTGAAAGTGATTGTTTATCATTTATCTGTGCGTGGGAGGAGACTTGACAGTGATAGTTTATCATTTACCTGTGGGTGGGAGGGGACTTGACAGTGATAGTGTATCATTTACCTGTGGGTGGGAGGGGACTTGACAGTGATAGTGTATCATTTACCAGACTTGACAGTGATAGTGTATCATTTACCTGTGGGTGGGAGGGGACTTGACAGTGATTTACCTGTGTGGGAGGAGACTTGACAGTGATAGTGTATCATTTACCTGTGGGGGGGAGGGGACTTGACAGTTATAGTGTATCTTTTACCTGTGGGTGGGAGGGGACTTGACAGTGATAGTTTATCATTTACCTGTGGGTGGGAGGCGACTTGACAGTGATAGTTTATCATTTACCTGTGGGTGGGAGGGGACTTGACAGTGATAGTGTATCATTTACCTGTGGGTGGGAGGAGGACTTGACATTTAGTGATAGTGTATCATTTACCTGTGGGTGGGAGAGGACTTGACAGTGATAGTGTATCATTTACCTGTGGGTGGGAGGGGACTTGACAGTGATAGTTTATCATTTACCTGTGACAGTGGGAGGGGACTTGACAGTGATAGTGTATCATTTACCTGTGGGTGGGAGGGGACTTGACAGTGATAGTGTATCATTTACCTGTGGGTGGGAGAGGACTTGACAGTGATAGTGTATCATTTACCTGTGGGTGGGAGGGGACTTGACAGTGATTGTATCAGTGATAGTGTATCATTTACCTGTGGGTGGGAGGAGACTTGACAGTGATAGTGTATCATTTACCTGTGGGTGGGAGGGGACTTGACAGTGATAGTGTATCATTTACCTGTGGGTGGGAGGGGACTTGACAGTGATAGTGTATCATTTACCTGTGGGTGGGAGGGGACTTGACAGTGATAGTGTATCATTTACCTGTGGGTGGGAGGAGACTTGACAGTGATAGTTTATCATTTACCTGTGGGTGGGAGGGGACTTGACAGTGATAGTGTATCATTTACCTGTGGGTGGGAGGAGACTTGACAGTGATAGTGTATCATTTACCTGTGGGTGGGAGGGGACTTGACAGTGATAGTTTATCATTTACCTGTGGGTTGGAGGGGACTTGACAGTGATAGTGTATCATTTACCTGTGGGTGGGAGGAGACTTGTCAGTGATAGTTTATCATTTACCTGTGGGTGGGAGGACTTGACAGTGATAGACTTGACAGTGATAGTGATTATCATTTACCTGTGGGTGGGAGGGGACTTGACAGTGATAGTGTATCATTTACCTGTGGGTGGGAGGGGACTTGACAGTGATAGTGTATCATTTACCTGTGGGTGGGAGGGGACTTGACAGTGATAGTGTATCATTTACCTGTGGGTGGGACTTGGGAGGGGACTTGACAGTGATAGTGTATCATTTACCTGTGGGTGGGAGGGGACTTGACAGTGATAGTTTATCATTTACCTGTGGGTGGGAGGAGACTTGACAGTGATAGTTTATCATTTACCTGTGGGTTGGAGGGGACTTGACAGTGATAGTTTATCATTTACCTGTGTGTGAGTGTGGACTTGACAGTGATAGTTTATCATTTACCTGTGTGTGAGAGTGGACTTGACAGTGATAGTGTATCATTTACCTGTGGGTGGAAGGAGACTTGACAGTGATTGTTTATCATTTAGTGTATCATTTACCTGTGGGTGGGAGGAGACTTGACAGTGATTGTTTATCATTTATCTGTGCGTGGGAGGGGACTTGACAGTGATAGTGTATCATTTACCTGTGGGTGGGAGGGGACTTGACAGTGATAGTGTATCATTTACCTGTGGGTGGGAGGGGACTTGACAGTGATAGTGTATCATTTACCTGTGGGTGGGAGGGGACTTGACAGTGATAGTGTATCATTTACCTGTGGGTGGGAGGAGACTTGACAGTGATAGTGTATCATTTACCTGTGGGTGGGAGGAGACTTGACGGTGATAGTGTATCATTTATATGTGGGTGGGAGGGGACTTGACAGTGATAGTGTATCATTTACCTGTGGGTGGGAGGGGACTTGACAGTGATAGTTTATCATTTACCTGTGGGTGGGAGGAGACTTGACAGTGATAGTTTATCATTTATCTGTGCGTGGGAGGACTTGACAGACTTGACAGTGATAGTGTATCATTTACCTGTGGGTGGGAGGGGACTTGACAGTGATAGTTTATCATTTACCTGTGGGTGGGAGGAGACTTGACAGTGATTGTTTATCATTTATCTGTGCGTGGGAGGGGACTTGACAGTGATAGTGTATCATTTACCTGTGGGTGGGAGGGGACTTGAAAGTGATAGTTTATCATTTATCTGTGCGTGGGAGGGGACTTGACAGTGATAGTGTATCATTTACCTGTGGGTGGGAGGAGACTTGACAGTGATTGTTTATCATTTACCTGTGGGTTGGAGGGGACTTGACAGTGATAGTGTATCATTTACCTGTGGGTGGGAGGAGACTTGACAGTGATTGTTTATCATTTATCTGTGGGTGGGCGGAGACCTGACAGTGATTGTTTTTCATTTATCTGTGCGTGGGAGGGGACTTGACAGTGATAGTGTATCATTTACCTGTGGGTGGGAGGAGACTTGACAGTGATTGTTTATCATTTATCTGTGGGTGGGCGGAGACTTGACAGTGATAGTGTATCATTTACCTGTGGGTGGGAGGGGGATGCTAGACATAATTTATCATTTACCTGTGGGTGGGAGGAGATGAGGCTATAATAGTCAGTGTGATGTTGTTGTCGAAGGCGTAGTTGGTTCCAGATTTACTAACAAACCATTCAGAGAAGGTGTCAGTGGTAGGTGTACTTGAACGCATCAACCAGGCACCGAATGGACTAGGTACAAAGGTTGGTCGAGATACGATAGTGCTTTCATAGCCAGTAAAATCAACATGGGATACACTGTAAATAAAACAAATTTCTCATTATGTATTGTTTTATTCATTTATAATTAATATACTAGTATCTTGTATTTTACTACTCTTCTCTCTAGCTAGTGTTTTATTTTTATTTTTTTAGGTTTTTTGACAACTTTTCTTTGCATTCAAATCAAGTATCAGAATGCAAAATAGTGCTGTATGATATTTCTGGATATTTCATACTTAGAAGTTAAATGAAAGATTAGTAAAAAACAGAACTGAACATGGATACTGTTCATACAAAACAGAAAGAGATTTCAATTTGTGATGTACATGTATTTGATATGTATTAGACTGAAATATAATTAAAACGCTTCCGTGAATATTCGTAAAACTTGGCAAAGATCTAAGGGTCTAATCCACAAGATAATATGATGAATGATGTTTTTATCAATGTGAGTAATGATATATTCCAAGTGTCCATAATGGAGCCCAGCAGGTCCTGGGTAGAATATGTACCTAGGAGGAACCTTTAAGGTACAAATAAAGTGGGACTTAAACTACCAGGTACTTAGATGAAATGTAATAAGTTATCAAGTTCTTAAGTTTGAAATACATATATATGTTAAAAAAATAATCGTAAAGCAACATAGATTGAAAATAAGATTGACATCCCTTTCTTACAGAGCTCCCAGGAGACAACATCATCCTAAATGATGATATTCATGACGTGACCCAAGAAGACAGGATATGCAGAATCATGCCATGACTTACCTGAAGTCATAGTACACTATAGGCAGGATCCAATCACTTACAGATGCTGATGAGTTTCCTGATGCAACTGTAACCAAATAGACAGTTAGTTTTAATATTATTAATATTATTACATTCTTAACGGCCCGTCAACACATAAAAGGTCATTAGGGCCATCAAACGGAGTTAGTTTTAATGGATTATTCACATAATTTTTAGTACTTCAAGAAACTGCTTGTTTTTTTATAGTATTGTATTTGCTGTCAAAGCCAAGTGAAGTGTTAAAGATTAAAATGTAGGTTGCTGTGACCTATATTTCATTTAAGACTCGCCATCTAATCAAGATGTAACCACATCTAAGGCTTATACAAAAAAAGCTTAAGGATTGATGTCATTGAAACTGTTTTAATATTTTGTCTTCGTCTAGCATGTGACTCAGTTTTCCCAATGAACACAGATGTTGTTGGAAAGAGAAGCTGGAGTAAGATTGAGCTTGACACTCAGATTTATTCATATCTACTGTCATGTTATTCCAGCCAAATGACTAACACAAGAGGAACGTTCTACAAGCAAGCTGACTAGGCGCTGCAGACCTTCTAATTTTGCTGTTTACATGTATGATAAAGCACTTAACAATTTTTATTTTTAAAAAGTCCATACATGTATGTCTTACTGTTTGCATCCTTAACCATATTTACATAATAATATACCATAGGGGCTACCACATGCAGTCAAAAACTGTTGTATTAGAAATTGTATTACATTAGAGTTATTGTTGCACAGAAATTGGCAGTGTTATTGGTGTTGGTTTGAATAAGCAATATCTAATTATCCTCCTGCAGTATACCCAAACAGCTGTAAATAAATATATGCTTCAACACCATTTCAAAGTTTGAAAATAATGTGAGAAAAGTTTAATATTTAAAAAGCTGTTGTTATTTGTGATACATGTTCCATCACAAAATCTACACAAATATCTGTTGCATATTCATACCTGAATTAATCTGTGTTGTAGCGACCCCTGGCTGACTCGGTGCACTGGTCGAAGCGTTACCCCCACTTCCAACAACAAGTGCCACCACACAGACATACTCAGTGTTGCCCTGGATACCATTTGCAGAAGTGAAGGTGTGTGTGAAGACAGCGGTAACCAGCTGGGTATGGGACGTCCCAGTACTCGAGGCGGTGCAGGTGACCTGGTACTGCCTGTAGACAGAAAACTTGGGCATTTCAATAAGTCTTACACAGTCAATAAAATTTATAGAAATTTTAATTCTCATCATCTCATAAGTGGTTAGCTGAATTACCAAAACATGATTAATGGATATTTTTTTGGTCACAGTGTTGTAAGGTATTTCCTTCTCTATTGCTTTTCAGTTCATCAATTTTAAAAATACTGATGCACTTATAGGTACAATATGAATATTGATTTGCTATGACCCTTTGACCATGAGGAATATTAGTCTTTGACCCAATCAGGTTTTTACATCCTCAGTAAATTATGTCCAATCAGAGGCCAGGATTGTGTTTCCGCGGTAACAGCTTGGGAAACATCTAATATTTCCAATTATTGGCCTTACTGAATTACATCTTTTTACTAAGTTTGAATACAATCAGTCAAATAACTGAGGAGTTATGGACATTTATTAGAAAACTAGTTTATAGTGACCAGTTACCATGGCAACCAAAATTTTCAAAAAAAGAAAAGGGCATGCATATCTACACATGATCCTTAATATTCCTGTAAAGTTTCTTCAAAATCGGTTCACAGGTTTAGAAGGAGTTAGCCGGACAAAATGTGTCTACAGACAGACGGACGGACAGACGGACAACCTGATTCCAGTATACCCCCCTAACTTCGTTGCGGGGGGTATAAAAATTATGGTACCACTGGAAGAATCTTGTCACAAGGAATACACATAATAAATAAGAAAGCCCTACCTCTAACAGTGCAATAGTTATGGGCAAGGTTAAAGTTGACAACAGACAAAAAAACAAACAGGCAAAAACAATATGCCTCCGATCTTTCAATCAGGTGGCATAAAAACCTACCATGCAGCTGCTTCAGTATTAGTCGCTGTCGAGGAAGAAGCCACAGTGTTGTTGGGACGTGTCCAGGTAACTGTAACATCACTAGAGGTCACAGCTGAAGCGGCCACATTAAGCGGAGCTTGAAAAGATTAAATATTGGTCTGATTTTTCAGTAAACATACCTTTAGATTTTACCTATACATCAATTTGGAGACTAAAACATAGGGTACTAAACCAGAAGTCAATGTTGCCAAAAGTAAATAAAATGATTTTACATTTTTTCTGATGGACTGTATGATTTCTGATAAAAATGAAGTGTGTCTTTATACTAATTTCATATAAATGATTGCCAAACATTTAGAAATATTTTCCTTCAGGTAGGTTATGTCAACAGAACAGAAGTTCTTATAAAACAACCAGTATAACATCAGACAAATGACCATTGTGTAGGGTATTAGCACTGACATACATAGTGTACGAGATGGTAAGGAATTGACCAACTTGTTCGACTCTACTATAATCCTACTGGTTGTGCATTTTATATATACATACAACACAAGAAATTGTTGACATCTGCATTCAAGAAGTAGGTTGCATTAGTTTTCGTAGTGTAGTCAAATTGGATGCCAGCCACCTGTGAAGGGGAGCCACAGGTTCCTCCAGCGATGGTTTCCTGTACTTTCTCCAGGGTCTGGTAGATATAACAGTCACATCCGATAGCATTGTTACCTGTAAGTGTCCTGGAGGAAAGTTTAACAAATTATATACAATACATACCATCACAGAAACTTTCATCAAAAACCTGGAATTAAGTCCAGCTCATCAAACTTTACAAACAATATGTACTCTGTGACCCTCAATGTGAGTCAGGACAGCTTCTGCTGGATACCAAATGATCATTTGCTGTGTGTATGAGAATATATTTGAGATCACTGATGTCTGATAATAAACAAATTAACTCAGTCGATCAGGCATTCATACAGAATTTTGTTTTTTTGTTTATTTTTTAAGCTGATTAGCTTATCTGTTCATTAACAAATGCACTGAATATTTTCTTTTTTAAAATTCTCTTAATTTGAAATGAATATTGTTGGATAATTCATAAGAACTCACAATAAATTCATATTTGACAATAATACCTAACACCTGAAGTTTAACAAATCTTTTTCAAGAGGTATAACAGAAAAACACTGCAATGCCATAACCAAAATAGGAGATGACTTTTTGTTTTAAGAATGATGATTGGGCTGTGGTAGCTAATGCTATCAGAGCTTTGGCCAATGAAACACCTCAGGTGGAAATCTGAGGTGCTTGGTTCAACCCCTATTCATGGCATTTCATGTTTCTCAGGAAGCTAAGAAACAGTCTAGTCTGAGCTGATGTGGTTGTGTCTATGAGTAAGACATTTTACCCTGGTTGCTATGGACAGCATGAGATGGGCCTCCCATATGATGTTCAGAGAGGTAGTCACCATCTACTACCCATGTACAAATATACAGGCATGTGTAAAGCAAACATCTTAACTAAATAACACTTACAGTGTTTTAAACTTTGTACTGCCTTCAAATTCATCAAAGGTGGCTACTTCAAAAGACTGAAGTTGGTTGTTGGAGAGGTCAATAGAGGTCAGCTCAGTCATATTGGGCAGACTAGGAAAGAAGTACATCTGGTTATCCGACATGTCCAATGTCTTCAGTGATCCGAGGGAAGCGAAGGAATTGGGTTGGACATACCCAATGGTGTTGTTCTTTAAGTTGCTGAAACAGTTGATAAAGATGACAATACTGATCCTGTCAGTAGATATACATGTATATGTAAGAAATAAAGTTGGTCCCTTTACTCTGATCGCCCGGCATGCGAGAAGGTACAAGGGACTTTATGAACTTTTTTTTAAAAAGTACGTCATTGGCTCAATCTTAGTGTCTAAATGTACAAGTAAATTGTAAATATTTTCGTTTAACACACAAGAAATAACTTAAAATAAACTCAAGTCAATTTCTTTAAAATTTGAAGCTTTCCATTCTTTTCAAAAAGGAATTTACAAATCATTACATTTGAACATCAACATCTTATCCTAAACAAATTTTACAAATTCAAAATTAAACATTCAATTCAAATGAACTTTAAATGCATTTATCTTATTTGAAGCCCTCTTATGGATTCATATGAAGTGAGAGCTTCTTACTGTCAGAAAATACTTGATATTTTTTCCTTCCTCTTGGCAGCAATTCACTACAAGTGAATGATGATTCATACTGAGACAAACACATTATTGACTGATGACTCTGACGAAGACTTACAGAGTCTCAAGATTGACGAGAGGATCAAACACGCCTGCGATGATGTTGGTAATGAGATTGTTCCTCAAATCCAGAGATTTCATTGTGGCTTGATTAAGGAAGGCCACCAAAGACAAATCTGTGAGACGGTTGTCTGACATGTCCCTAATAAACACGTACAATGTTCATATATTCAGTTTAAAATAATACAGGACATTTTCATACAATTTTTACTTTAAATTTTTTTAACTTTTTCTTAAATATTATTATAAATCAAATGCAGTCTATAACTTTGTATAATAATCAACACAAATGTTTGGAAATGTTAATGATGAGAATATTTGAATGTCAAATACAACACTACATTATGTACAAACAAACCGTTTTTTTCTGTCTGATTCAATAAGAGATTTCTATAAATCAACAAGAACTCAAAATGAACTTAAAACAGCTAATACTTTAAAAGTATGTTTACCAACATTACAAAAATACGAAAGAGCAGATGAAAGAATAAAAGAATTAAGCAAATTTTAATATAAAGAGGTCACACAGAGGTCAGAAAGCATCACATCAAATCTGATAAAGGAATCGCAAAGTGTAAAAATACCCCAGTCCTAGTGTTAAAATCCTGATTGGTCACTTCAGACAACTATATGTACATGTTAGTATCATTTCTATACCTTTAGAGGGGAAGGTGACGCAAACATCCACAACTTACACTGTCTCCAAATTTCTATTAGCCAGGGCGTTTGCTGGATATTCTGTAATCTGATTTTCATCCAACAGACTGAGGAAGAATGCGAAGATGGATTATAACAAAATCAATGATAATTTAGATAAAACTACATATTTCTGTCCTACATTTCTGCCTGCACAACACTGTATGGGTCCATAACACTACTGCAAAAAAGCCCAGCTGGATGCCTGTATGATAAATTTAACACTTAAAGCAAAATAAAAAAAAAACAAAAATGAAGCCATTTAAAGCATTTGAACAGCAAATAAAGCACATTTAAGTATGGCTGCTTTGAAAAGAAAGTCAGTTATTGAGTATCTTTATAGGAAACGTGTTGCTGAAATAGGATAGAGAACATAGATAAACAATATGACTTGATAAGCTAAAAATGCTTAATAAATTGATTCGCATTCCAATACTATTAGGCAACAAAGATTGAACATCATTTTTTCAAAGCATAGATAATCTTGTTTTAGACTGGTTTATTAAGAATACTGTTAAAAATATACTTAAACATTACAAATTTGCTTACAATTAACAGTTTATCACAGAAATCAGTGGCTAATATTACTGTGAATCAGTATGGTACAATATGTTTTTGATGATAGACTCAAAGATACAAAAGTATTTTAATCCTTTAGGTACTGAGAGCAAATCATTTTTACTTCATGCTTAATTTCATATTGCTCCGCAACTGCCGTTAAAATACAAATTAAAATATCACAGGGACAAGTAATACATAATTTTTAGTCTATATAATATTCCAGTTTTAACGTTTCTAAGTGTGAAAACGATATTCAGTTTCCCTATACTTACACTGCTTTAACATATGACAACCCATCAAATGCTGTTTTAGGTAGAGAAGTCAAGGAATTCTTGCTGAGATCTAAATTTCTTGAGATGGTAGAGCTGTTAGCAAAAATATTTCCTCGAAGAGTTGCTATCTGGTTGCTATAGAGTTCTCTGCGAAAAAAAATATACAACAGATATATACAACAGGTAAGGTGGATAATGGTGAATTTGTGTTGGAAACCACCTTATTTCAAATATGATAATCTTCTGCATTAATATTAGCTCAAAGATGTAAACTTTCCCAGGGCAATTATAAATACTAAAACAGAACAATTGTAGCAATAATTTTGAAAACACAGACCAATTAAGGTAAAGCATGTATTTCTTGTTATAAATATAACTCCATAGTGCTTATAAACATCAACAAATAGTGGGAGATAAAAAATATCAGAACTAAGTAACTCCTCAAGTGTACATATCTTGGAAACATAATTGTGTTTGTTTAGGTCAAAAATATTACTTTAACTGGCTAAGTTTACTCAAGTGTACTTACAAATCATATCCCACACTGACACCATCAAAAGCTGCAATGTCAATATAGGCGATGGCATTCTCCTGGAGGTAGATGTATGAAGCACTCACAAACTGGAAGGCCCCTGTCGGGATGTGTGTGATCTGCATTCCATTCATGTACCTAATAAATGAAAAATGATATAATTATTCAAAGTTTATTAATATATAAAACATTACCACTCAATAATATATTTATTCTCCATGATGCTATTTTACTTAAAATAAGGAAGTGTGCTTATTACAGGACACTAAGGGAGAAAGGAAATATTCTCCAGCGGTTATCACTTTAACTAGTATGTGATTACTGACTTAATCATGACCTACTTACAGTCTTGTACAACTGACACTAAGAAATGCCTTTTCCTGGATGGTTTTCAAAGGATTGCCTGTTAAGGACAGAGTTCCAGACACAGACACATATTGAAAGGCTCCTGTTTCGATGACCGATATCTCAGAGCTACTCAGGTCCCTGCAGAAAATAGATACACATTGATGTTATATCAACAGTAAGACATATTTCAGAGGTAATATTTACATGAATAACTTCATTGAGCTAAATTCAGACATGCACCTATTTCTGTACATTGAATACTCTATAACAGATATATGAAAGACAGAGAACGTAGTCATTGTAGTAAATATGCCACATTATCATTGTGGTAAATATGTGATGTTATCATTGTGGTAAATATGTGTTGTTATCATTGTGGTAAATATGTGTTGTTATCATTGTGGTAAATATGTGATGTTATCATTGTGGTAAATATGTGATGTTATCATTGTGGTAAATATGTGATGTTATCATTGTGGTAAATATGTGATGTTATCATTGTGGTAAATATGTGATGTTATCATTGTGGTAAATATGTGTTGTTATGATTGTGGTAAATATGTGTTGTTATGATTGTGGTAAATATGTGATGTTATCATTGTGGTAAATATGTGTTGTTATCATTGTGGTAAATATGTGATGTTATCATTGTGGTAAATATGTGTTGTTATCATTGTGGTAAATATGTGTTGTTATCATTGTGGTAAATATGTGATGTTATCATTGTGGTAAATATGTGATGTTATCATTGTGGTAAATATGTGATGTTATCATTGTGGTAAATATGTGATGTTATCATTGTGGTAAATATGTGATGTTATCATTGTGGTAAATATGTGTTGTTATGATTGTGGTAAATATGTGTTGTTATGATTGTGGTAAATATGTGATGTTATCATTGTGGTAAATATGTGTTGTTATCATTGTGGTAAATATGTGATGTTATCATTGTGGTAAATATGTGATGTTATCATTGTGGTAAATATGTGATGTTATCATTGTGGTAAATACATGATGTTATGATTGTGGTAAATATGTGATGTTATCATTATGGTAAATATGCCACGTTATCATTATGGTAAATATGTGACACAAAGTTATCGTTGTGATAATATGCAAAATTCATAGATCTTTAAAACTGCCATACAGACATTCAGAGTAGTAAGTATTACAAGAGTGTTCAATAACAGTTCTGAAAAGTTTTTCCAGTTATACAAAGTTAAGTGTCTAAACTGTAGCTACCCTATTCTTTAACTAGGATATGATCTGATGCATTTTAAAAGAAATGAAGTCAAAATCAATTAAAATTCTACAAATTTTTAGACTGTAACTGACTGCCGAACCTTTTCAGAATTAACACATTTCTCTCCCCAATCCTTAATACTCACAGACTGTTACCAACTGTAGTACCGTTGAACACTCCAGCTGGCACTTCAGTGAACCGATTGCTTCCTAGACCTAAACTGTACACATTCAAGTTGGCAAAATCTCCACCCTTTGGAAATTTGGTTAGTTTGTTGCTTTGAAGCAAACTGGAATAAAACAAAACATATAGATCAAAATTTAAAGAAAGACAAGAGGCACAAAGGGTCTGAATCACTCTTCTATTTTGCAGATTACAAAGACATTGTTGGTTTGTTCAGTCAACTTCTTACAACTTAACAGTTCATTACCCATGCCACTTACTACATAAATACCAAGGCCTAGGGCCAACTGGTTACTGAGAAGAAGATTTTTTTTTAAATCGTCATTTATTCTATCGCCATGACCTTGACAGTGGGTTAAGATTATTAATCCCAGTATGCTACAGGGCTAATATAAGTACCCTGGGCTATTTGGTTTTTGAAGAGGTGCCACTTGAAGATTGACCCTATGACCTTGAAATTGAGTCAATCATATTTCTTCCTCTCGGCATTCTAAAAGCCATTATCAATATCTTAAATATATTCTATAATGAGAATTAGTTGTTGAATATTTCTAAACATTTGACCAATGTGACCTTGAAAAATGTTAAGTCTATTCATTCAAGCATGTTAAAAACCCAATATTAGCGCTCTTTGTCTTCTGGTTATAAGGAAGTAGTTGTTTAAATACATGAACACATTTGACCTCTGTGACCTTTAAAGTAGTTCATGGTCATTTATCTTCATAAACTTATCGCCAGTCATCTTGGCATGAACCAGGCGGGGTATCAGTACACTGAGTCTCTTAGTTATGAGTATCAAGTTGTTTAAAAATGTTAATATATTTGAAATTTGTGACCTTAAAAGTGGGTCATGGTCATTGCACTGGACAACCTTGGTGGCCTTTCTTCAAAGCATGCTGCAAGCCCACTATCACTACCTTGAGTCCTTTGGTTATTGAAACAAAGACATTTTCAAGGATGACTTGCTTTGCCACAGCAGAAGCTCATTTGCTCTTTTGGCAAGTAACCTTAAAACAGTCTTCAGCAGTTGAATGAAATGGAGATAGATATTGGCAGAAATCCTTTTCTCAAAAATAGAAAATGTAAGCAAGATTCAGGAAACATCTTGTACAAAATCTTTTTATTTCATGAAATTTGTTTATGTCTTTTAAATATATAATGGCTTCTTCCAAGTAATATAATCTGAAGCTCACATTATCATGAAATGAAGTTTATTTCAAAAGCTTCATCATATCTATACATCAATTTAAAAACATCACCCTGAAACAAAATTCAACTCACAGATATGTTGTACTAGTGATGTGGGCAAATGTTCCATCCTCTATATAAGCGATATCATTGTTGGAAGCAGTAAATCGGTAACTAAGTGGACAGTCAGAAAACATAACCTTTGTCAGCCAGCCTATGTTATTGGAAGCCATCTGTCTGTGAACATAGAAGTGAAACAATTTCGTTCATTGTTGTAAAGGTAGGAGACGGAAATTATTGTATCATTTTAGAATCATTCATATCTTTCAGCATCAGATTAAAACAATTCCTAAGAAATGTGAAATTAAGAAAGTTTTCATGCTATCAAGCTATGTAGGATGACTAAGAAATGTTGAAACTTTTACATCTTTATAATGGCAGTATATCCAGCTCATAACTACCCTCGTTGTATAGAAATACTTACAGATCGGTAAGGGCAGTGCAGTTTGTGAAGGCTGTGTCTGGGATGACACTGATCTGGTTGCTGGACAGGGACAGGGTGGCCAGTGCTGTGAGGTTTGTGAAGGGATTTTCATGTGTAAATCGAAAACAGTTGCCTGTCAATGAGCTAAAAAAAATTTGAAGAATAAATTTAAGATTTTTGCTCAAACTTTAATATATATGTAACTAATACACATGAATGAAAGTGAAAAACATAACGACGCAGACATGCCAACTGAATATTTGGTGACTAGAAGTGATAATACTTTGGTTTGATAAATCCACAATGTAATCAGGCGAGTAAACCTGGCACATCTCTGTAAATAAATGATATACAATTTGACTATCAACCCATATCTATTTCAAATTTACAGAGTTTTTCTAACGAGACCTGCCCATCTGACAAAACAGTTCAATCAAATTGAATTACCAAAATTATTTGATGATAGATAGATAGATTAGAAGTTTCGTCTTTCTATGATAGAGAAAAGACAATCTGTTGAAAACATACATGCAATTATCATTCAAAAATTTCTTGATTTTAACAGAAACTTGTAAAAATATTATCTTCTTTGCATTTGGAATCTGTTGAACTGATAAAACTCAGAAGCTTTTTGCATGTTGATAAAGACACTTTTGAAGATTTTGTGTAGATACTTACATGGATGTGATGGTGGACGGAAAAGCCTCATTCTCAACCACCACTATACTATTACTTGCGAGAGATCTACAACATACCATCATATGTTAAGTCAAGAGAACATCTATTGAAATTTGTATCCCAATGCAACCTTTACTATAGAAAAGTTAAAATAGTCCATAGAGGTTAAACTGGGATTGAAAAGTAACATAGATATATGACTCTTCATGTATATTTTCTTTCCCTTCAGTAAGTGACTTTCCATTACTTCAAGGATGAATTCTTTAGGAGAAAGCCATCTAACTTCACAGAAAATCTCAAATTCTATTGTGAACTGTATTTTTTTGCAGAAATATCTTGAAAACACATTGAAATATCCTTCATGTCTTTAGTCTAGTTATGAACTTACCTCTACAATCTAGAATCCTACTTTATTGGTATCTGGACTTTAAAGTTTTGTTTTTAGAGAAAGTCTATAATTATGTTTATTGTAACAGACCTATTGATACATATTTAAAACACAGAAGGAAATATGAGCTGAACTATCAACAAAAGAAGCCAAACATTTGACTCAGAAAAGAGACTTAACAAATGTAAGATCAAGTCGGCATGATAAACCATTACTTGAACTAAGAAAAAATTCTGTGTCTTTTTTTAAAAAAAAAATTCTTACAAAGTGAGTAGAGTTGGGAGCTGTGTGAAGGTCCCTCTTTCAATGAAGGTGATGTAATTGCTGTCCAGTACGATGGTTTCTAAGGACGTCATGTTAGCTGACCGCACAGTCTGGGGAACGTACTGGAACTGGTTACTGCCCAAGTCCCTAGGAAAAATACAAATACAGAAACTGAATTTATAAGTAAACATGACTAGACTACATCCGTCCAAAAGAACCCCCCAACTGGTCATATCTACTACTGCATTTTGAAACTGGATTCTGAATTCCATGAGGAATTATCCCTGAAGACTATAAACACTTTTAAAAGATTTTCTGCTGAACATCAGATCTCATTTTCTTACTACTAGATTGAATATGTGTGTTCTAAAGACATTCCAAAATTAAAATCCAAACTTAAGTTTGCAGCTGCTTGATAATAATGCTCAGCAAAACACAGATAAAACCATTCCATCAGTTGTGAATGTTGACAATAATTAAATGTTGAAAAAAAACTTTATCTAATCCCGATTTCAACAGCCTGGTCTGTTGATGCACCAGAAAACCATTCCGATACTAGATTTCTTTTGAACATGTAAAGCATGACAAGGAGGTCTTAATGCTTTGATTAATAAAGTCAAACATTTTAAATGACCATACAAATCAGGTGCACAAATCAGTACAGCATTCATAAATCAGAACTCTAGTTCTTATCTCCAAAACTAAAAACAACTAACCACCAAGAGGCCCATAGGCCTTAATGGTCACCTGAGTTGAATTTGTTTTTTTTAGCTTAACAGATCTGCATTATCCAATATCTAGTGTACAGATTAAAGCCTGCATAGTATTGCAGATAACTGAAGAAATCCCCATCTGAAAATGGAGACAGACAAAAGGTAATCGCAGTCGGAGGCTTTGTCTCAGGTGACTTAAATATTGACATTAAAATAGAATTTTGTATCGTATGATAACAATTTTTATCAGCCATCATACTTACACATAATTTAGATAGGACAGACAGGTCAGCACATCGTCGGGAAACTTGTCGTTGGTGAGGAGATTAGAATCCAGATCAAGGTAGTAAAGAAGTGGCAGATCACAGAAGTCTGTCGATAAAATCTCTGGGATCTGGTTGGCATGAAGGTACCTGAATCATAATTAGCTACTATCTAACTTTCTGAGACCAATCAAAGCAAGTCATATTGTATCCAATTTTTTTTCCTTTTAATCTGCTGTCGAGGACTTGAAGAGATCCTTTTCTTATGCCAAGTAATCTCCCTTTAAGTTAATAAGTTAGAAGTTTCCTTCATTTTAACTTTGTATTGTCTATTGAAATGATAGACCTACTCCACAACACTTGTTTATTTGGAATTGTTTAGTTATTTTATCACTGACCCTGTGTTAAATCTACATGCAAGTCCTAAGTCCTGTACACAAAGAATATTGATGGGACTAAGAATTTCAGAAACTACTTAAATTTCACATTATGGGACCCACTGACTTCAGCAATGATGTTAAACAGGACTTGTGAAATTAGATTTTAGATTGATCCCTGTTGACCTTTACAAAATATTATATCAGGTTGAATGTAAATCAGTTAACTGTAAACTCTGGGGTTTACGGTTCAAGTCCCTACATGTCTTTGCCAGAATTTGAACCTGGACCTCAGGTTTATTAAAGTTATAAGTTATATTGTGGATAGTATTTTACAAGGGCTTCAATTATATTAGTTTTTATTACATGTCTGGCAATCATGTAGAGAAAATTGATGTGATAATGATATATCAGATTAGACCACCTAAGCCTCTTCAATCTCAGTGTCACATTTCCAGGGGACATAACTCCTGACATCACCCTATTGAATTTTGTTCTTCAGATGGACAAATTCTTAACCTCAAACAAAGATATAGTTGAAGCAATAATATCACTGAGACATATTTACATATAGCGAATGTTAGGAGAAGTCTTCCACAGCTGGAATGATCTCTGTCTTCTTTCATAGAGGCTCAGAGCAGAAGGAGAAAATCCGTCATCACTGTAGAGAGTCATATTGGTGATCAGGTTGTTGTCAGCAAAACTACAGGAAAAAAACAAACAAGTGATACATAGATACAGAAAATACATATAAAACTCAAACATGACAGTTTTAACACCTTAATGTCCAGTATACGTGCAAGGACAACACGGAATCCTGTAACCAAGGATCAGTCTACTTCAGAAATCAGCTGGAATTTCTCTTTGAAAGAAATAAAAAAGCAGTGTGGTCTTGTTCACTACTTTGTGAAAAAACTTCCAATATCCCATATTTGATGACAGAAAATTATCCAAAATATTCTTTATACTACAAACATACATATTTGTTGCATAGAACAGTTTATTGAAAAAGCATTGCAATGCTGTTCTTCTTCTTAAATGTTTTAAAAACTTTTTGAATTTAAATTTTTCCCTCCGTCACAAGGTAATTACTGAAAACTATGCAGAAGGAAATTTATGCTAACATTTGATTCTTCCCTTTTCACTATTACTGTTAAATACTTACACTTTAGTTAGTCTGTCATACTGTTGTTCAGACATCACCACATGGGGATAGCTGGTCAGGGCATTGTCACTCACCCACCTGGAAAGCCAGAGAAGTAATAGAGTTAAGTCCCCTACTCTATGTGTTACAAGATCATACAAAAAACAACAAGAAAATACCAACATGTCAAAATGATCAATATCAAAAAACAAAAATCAATAAAAACTAGGGCAAATTATGAACAAAAGAAAAGTTTAAACACAAGACTGGAAAAGTGCAATAACGATAAGACCAGATAATCCTGAAGAGTAAGCATCTTCTATTTTTTCGACGACACTCACTGTGTTAAACCTTGGTCAATTCAAGTAAGTAATGTCACGTTCTTAAATGAGAACAAGGTATACAACAACAGAACAAACAGGCAAAGTAAATAGCATCAAACACATCCAGCTTCATATCGCTCAAAGAAATAGAATATTTCTCAAAAAGATAACTTTGATGACCCTTACAGAAACACAACTGAATAGCACTTTTTAATACAATACAATCAAACAATGAATTAAAGTGCATCATACTGCTCTTTTGTCCTTCTAGACCTCATCACTAATGCTAAAGGGCCTAAATACTGAATTCTAGGAGACGGAGGAAAATTGAAAGTGATTGTAAAACAAGAGGCCCATGGGCCTTAACGGTCATCTGACAAAAAGCAAGCCAAACCTAGAAAGTGGGTTGAGGTCATTCATTTGAACAAACTTGGTAGCCTCTCCTCCAAGCATCTTACGGGCCCAATATCAGCACTCATGGACTTTTGCTTGTTGAGAAGAAGTCGTTTGTATATTTTAACATATTTGACCCCTGTGACCTTGAAAGTGGGTTGAGGTCATTCATTTGAATAAACTTGGTAGCCTTTCCTCCCAGCATGCTACAGACCCAATATCGGCACTCATAGACTTTTGCTTATTGAGATGAAGTCCTTTGTATATTTTAACATATTTGACCCCTGTGACCTTGAAAGTGGGCCAAGGTCATTCATTTGAACAAACTTTGTAGGGCTCCAAGCATGCTATGGGCCAAGTATTAGCCCCCTAGGCCTTCTAGTATTTGAGAAGAAGTTATTTAAAGATTTTAACATATTTGACCCCTGTGACATTGAAAGTTGTTCAAGGTCATTCATTTGAACAAACTAGATAGCCCTTCATCCCAGCATGCCACAGGCACAATATCAGCAATCTGAGCCTTTTGGTTATTGAGGAGAAGTCGTTTAAAGATTTCAACATATTTGGCCCCTGTGACCTTAAAGGTCAAGGTCATTCACTTGAACAAACTTAGTAGCACTTTATCCCAGCATGTCACAGGCCCAATATCTACACTCTGAGCCTTTTGGTTAATGAGAAGAAGTTGTTTAAAGATTTTAACATATTGACCCCTGTGACCTTTAAAGTGGGTCAAGGTCATTCATTTGAACAAACTTGGTAGAGCTCCATGCCAGTATCCTCTGTGCCAAGTATTAGCCCCCTAGACCTTCTAGTATTTGAGAAGAAGTCGTTTGAATGAAAAGTTTACGGATGGCGCACGGCGGACGGCGCACGGCGCACGGCGGACGACGACGGACGAAGCATGATGACTATAGGTCATCGGACCCTTCGGGTCAGATGACCTAAAAAGTAAACAATTTTGATTGAGATGTGCCCAATACTTCAATAAATTTCTATATAAAAGACAAAATATTCATCACTAGAGAAATTGTGGCTGTGCATCTGTGAACCTGTTTTTCTAAATTGTTGAAGTAAATTTGGTATATATATACTGGGACTGTTGGACACTTATTGGTTTACAATAACATGACTAAAAATAGCCAACTTTTCCATGAGTGTGCAAATAATTAAATCCCTGCATTATTATGCAAATTTTAAAATTTTGCAAACTGTACTTTGTTGTTTTGTGAGATATATGTAGTTGTTTTATCTTGGGTGCTACAATCGATACTTACAGATTTGTAAGGTTGCCGTTTATGTTTTTAAAAGCATTGTAGTAGATGTTGGTAAGCCCATTTATTTGACTGTGAAGCTTCAAAGTAATCAAAGCCGGCATGTTTGTCACGCTATCCTCCTCCAAAATGGTCAAGTCATTTTTTACCAAATCTCTGAAATATATATTATGAATGTTATCATTACTATGAAATTTGAAACAAATAAAGCTTTGGTCATTAATGTTTTCAAACCAAAAGAGGTTATGAACAAATATAGGGGTTTGCTCTTCTGTCTGTACGAGCCTCTATAGAACTTCTACATTTACTTTATCACATGATCATACAGAAACTTAATTACAGGTATAGGCCAGTATAAAATTAGCTTTTAAACATTCAGTAGCTTGATTTTGACATCATAATATCTGGGAACTATTTGTTGAATGAATGAATGAATATTTGTGATACATATACTTACAAATGTAGCAGATTTGGCATGTCAGCAAACACTCCCTTAGTTAGTGTTGTTAATACGTTATTGTGGAGCTCTCTGTAAAATAGGCACATTTTCAGGTAAGTTCCTTCTAATCTTGTTGATACCTAAATACGTTTTCCTTTAAAGTCATGTCTAAACAGTAACAGAACTGGTGGCAACTAGAACACTGACAGGGTAGCAAGGCCCCACTATGTGTCTGGAAATACCCACCCCGCTGCCAAAGCAAAATTGAGTTATCGCGTGGAAACTGATTTTCCTATTCATGTTAACAGTAACCTTAACCTTTGACCTTCAAGCAATTGTAAGCAAACACTTTCAGTGAGGAAGTACTGTATGAAGTTTGGGTTAAAGGAAACTCTGGTTTTCACATGGATGACAATGACGATGGTTTCTCGTCTCCGTGACTCTGCCCGTCGCCGGGCATTGTCCAATTGACGTGTGTTGATTCTCTGGCGACATTTTCACATGGAAAATGATTTTCTATTTAAAGTAACGGTGACCTAATAGTGAGGAAGAATCATTAGCAGGATGATCATAATTGCTTAACATTAAACTGCATTTAATAAACAGTTGAACCTGGTTATCTTGAATTCATATAACTAACGCAAGACCCAATACAATTCAAATTTTGCACTCAACATTCAAACTCACTTAAACTGAATAGTCTGACAACTCAAACTTTTCCAAGATCCTGCCGAGATTATGAGTTTTGACTTTATTTTTTAGACTTAACAGAAAATATGGTACATCAAACAACATCCATGTCCTAATATTTTTTTACAATAATTGTCTGTTTATTCTGATCAGTGGTGCTACAAAATCTCCATAATTTGCTTTATTGTTGTCAGCTGTTCTGGTTTAACTGGAAGGGCATATTGCTCTGTATCACATAGAAGATAAGTCTGAAAAGATATTCCTTAATTCAGAGAAAATTGTCATCTGTTGTTTTTTATCAGATATTCTAAGAATTAAACAGAATTCCAAACACCACGAAATATTAGTTCAACTAAGGAAAATCCATCATGCATCAATCAATTTCTTAAAATGAAATTTTAAAAAAGGTTTAGCAATGTCATGAGTGTACAAAATGATAACAATATGACCCCTTGTCGTGGCGTTAGGGTAACTTACAGAACCTTCAGGTTGCCAATTTGTGCCAATGCTGTGGGCTGGATATATCTGATGGCATTGTTACTAAGGTTACTGTAAAATATAAGACGAAAATAAAAGTTAGACAAGAATGAGAAGTATTGTAGATGATCAACATACAGTATATTGGGATATGTTTGCACTGTTCAAATTTTCCAAAAACTCTCACTGCTTTTTTTCTTTTTGCAATTTCATTTGGAAGGCCTCGTTTGAAGACTTTGGGTACTTTAGAACGGACATTGGTGTAGATTTTAATTCAATTGGAGATCTAACTGACCAGTCAAACTAGATAGCATGCCATCCAGTAATTATTTATTATAGTAGTCTCAGATGTATGTAGGTACATCAGTTCTAGAGACGTATTACTCGTGCATTTACAATAAAAAGAAAACATGCATATTTCGCAACATTTTTTTTGCCATTCTGAAAGAGTTGCAAATTTTACATAAATTTAGATACTCGTAAAACATTCCTGGTATACGTTGGTAAGATTGATGATATACCAAAACATCTCAAAGACAGAAAGCCTTTTTTTTTTTTTTTTTGTTTATCTACTGTTTGGTTTTAAAACTTTATTTCTTCCTAAAGATGAAAGTACAATCATGGCAACATAATTTCAGATCATTTATCATCTACATTTACTTGATCTGCTTCATAGTGTTTATACATACAGGTGTTGCAACTGAGACGTCGCAAAATAGGACAGGTGGGTCCTAGAAACTCCTGTGATTTGGTTCTCATCTACACCTCTGAAATATACAAACAGTTTTCAATGTTTTAAATTCATTTTCTACACCCCTGTTATAGAGAAGTTCTAGACTTTGAATATTTCTACAAATTGATCAACATACCTGTTTACAATATATAACAATAGTAATGTATTTGTATTTTCTCTTAGAGACTGGTGTCTCAGTCTTTAATTCTCCCCCATAATTATACCAGATGTGAAGTAAAATTCATAAGTAAAAAAAAAAAATTAATTCATCGTCCTTCCATGAGCCGAACATCTGATGGTGAGTTAGAATTTGTTTGTTTTCCAACTTTGCTTTTATTACTGGATAAATATAGTATCTGATTTTTAAAATTTTATGAAGAGAAAATTAACTTACAGAAATAGAAGTGTGTTGACATCTTTTAGAGCTGGTCCAGGAACATATCGTAAACTATTTCTGCTAAGGCCTCTAAAATGGAGAAAAAGCAGGTGTCATATTTGGTTAGTTAAGATGAGCAATCCTTTTGGTGACAATTATAGACCTGATTTATAAAGACAGACTTGCATGAGAGAGAGCTTGGCTTCCATCTATATCATTGTTTGGGGATGCGGGTATTAAAAGACATGTATCAGATGTAATTATACAAATAGGAAACAGAATACATAGAATTTGAAGAATCTGTTGATGTGATACAAAGGGAGATAACTCAAATCAATCTTAAGTATTTTCCTTTTTATTATTATTTGGTATTTCTTTAATTAATTTCGCAAGAATTATATTAGGTACTATATCCCCAAATATTCATTTCTTAGAATTTATTTGAATATATCACCTGAAAATCAGGATCAAATTTGAATTTCAATTTCAATTATTTTTGTGATAATTCCACATAAAGTCAGTACAGACATTAAAAAACTTTAAAACACATCAAAATAACAATTTTCAATATCAATAGTGAATTTAAATTAATGTAAGCAGTAAGAATACTTACAGATACTCAATATTGCTACCACTAAAATAGCCGTTGGGTATCATATTGATGCTGTTCTCAATCAAAGATCTGTAAAAAGGAGATCTTATTTAATTAGCACCACAGAAATTCAAATAATTAAAATAATCTCAACAACGTCAAAAGTTAAAAGAAGGCATGTTTAATGGCAAGGAAGAGATCATGAAATGAAGTCTACAAAAGTCCTGGCAGCTCTCCAACAGAGTTACATTTCTGAAATGAACAATACATTATCTTCCTTGACTTTGATAGAACTGCATAATAAATGTCTGAATATTAAAGTTTAAAATTGATAAAGTTATCATACTTTATGAAAGTTCTTTATTTTTCAAGGTTAGGCTTATTCTATACGCATACAAAAACAATGATAGGACATCAAGAGAGCACATACCATTTCCTACTATCTTCTTACCACTATCCAAAAGTCTCATTCTCCATCTCAAATCTTATTCTCTCCTCAATAGCTTACCTCTGAACATATCTTAACCTTCTCTAGAATCACATCCTCGTCCCAAAATCGCATTCTCTCAAAATTACGTCTTTCTCTAAAAACACATCTTCCTCCTGACATTTAATTCTCTCCCCAAAATATCACATCCTCGTTCTGAAATCACATCCTCCCAAAATCGTAACCTTCACCAGGATCGCAATTTTTGTCTATCACCCATATTTGAGTTATTCTCTACATACCGGTCAATGTCTTAATGTTAATAACTTACATACCCAATCATTATTATACTTTACCCTTGTATAAACTACAATTCTATCATAAGCCTTATCTTCAGGTTATTTTTCAGTGGAATTAACATCACACTGGATAATATCCTGTATGAAATATTGTCTGTCACCAAAATTGTCCTCGTGTCATATCATACTTACACTTTTGTCAGTGTAGTGGGCCAGCTTATTTTGGTGTAATTATGGTTGAACAAATTGATTAAATTTCTCCCCAGCATCCTGCAATAAAAGAAATAAAATAAGGTCACTGTAGTCTAAATTTAAATGGGCTGAAATATAACATTTTGTATTCTTCCTTTAACATTCCTACCAAATTTCAGCTCTTTGGCACTAGTAAATCAAGTTAAAACAGACCGAAATCACATTGAGTTTAATCAGCACTAAAACGCTGAATGCTCCAATACAGTTTCATTGAAATTGCATCGCAAGTTATTGAAATTAACATTGCGATAGTGACTTTAAATCACTCACATCTCAGTCAGAGCAGTGTTAGATACATCTGGAACAGCTGTCAGTCCAGTGTCAGTGATGATGCTGTAACAACAAAAACAAGGATTATGAACACTGGAATATACCAACAGCTATTGAAAAAAAACTTTCTTTAAACATGAGGAATTTTGGTGCCCACTATGCTACAAGAGGGAAACTTAATACAAAATTTTATTGTCAGAATCTAATATGGTCACCTATCAGACATATACAAAGCGTTCCAGATAAGACAGTACCTCCAATACAAAAAGATAAGTGTCCCTAAATACAAATTGTGTCAGATAAGACAGGAGGCCAGAATACAAATTGTGTCAGATAAGACAGGGGCCCCCAATACAAATTGTGTCAGATAAGACAGGGGCCCCCAAAACAAATTGTGTCAGATAAGACAGGAGGCTATAATACAAATTGTGTCAGATAAGACATGTGCCCCCAAATACAAAGTAAGAAACATAATAGAGGTGCCCCCAGATACAAAATGTGTCAGATAAGTACTTGCTCATACATGATTTGTCGGATGAAATACATGTCCCTAAAAAGACAGCACCAAATACCACAGGTTTCACTTACAGCTCCGATAGACTTGTCATTGAAGTGAGCAGGTTCCTCTCAATCAACACAAATGTTGGCACATTCACAATTTTTCTGAAAAAAAAAGAAGAAAAAAACATGGTCGGTTATTGCTCATGGTGAACAGGTAATTATCTTTATTTTGCAACAAAAATTGCTGATCTTAAGTATTGACAAGAGGTCTACGGAGCCTGTATCACTTACCTTGACATTTAAGCTTCCACTTAAAAACACCTTTATTCACAATTATGTACCTGCTTTTTTCTTAAAAATGGGGAACTTTAAAGTTTCATCTACAATTTTACAAAGTATCTTAATGCAACCAGAAAAAGGATGTTTTTGAAATCTTATCCATAAAGGGCCTACCTCTTCAATTACATAAAACTGAGTCTTAAGCTATTGGGCCCAGCCTCTCAGACACAACACTTATACAGAATTGGTTTTCCTTCCACCAACAATGGTCCTGACCAAATTTGGCCAATATGTCTTCATCCAAACAGAAGATGGATTTTAATACCAATCCTTATTTACTGTATTAGGCCCACCCTTCTGCCCCCAATGGAGTCAGACCCACTGTTTATACAAAATCAGTCCTCTTCTTCTTGAGACTAAATTTGGACAAAATCCTGACATTCCCATAGAAGAAGATATTTAATGAATTTGCTATATATCCCCTATTGGGTCCTGTCCTTTAGGCTTTAGGGAGCTGAGACCCACCATTTAAAGAAAATTAGTTTCCTCTTCACCTAAGTACATAAATAAGAATGAGAACCTAGCAAGTACAAATTTGGCAAGTTTACCTTCATCCAAACAAAAGAAGGAATCTTTAATATTTTACCATATTTGGGCTATGCCCTTTAGCCTTCTTCTGTCTTCACTTTCTTCACACAAGGATGCTTTAGACAAAATGAAATGGCACAAGCTTTTTATTTCCAAATTTGCCAAGGGTGACTTTTGACCTTTAACCTTAACCAATGACCACCAAAATCTAAGCTTGATTTGATGTAAATCTAAACTAAATCTGTACAAGGGTTCATGAGATACACTGGCTTTTTATCTAAAAGTTGGTCAAGAGTGACCTTTGATCTTTAACCTTGACCAATAGACACTAATATCTAATCAGGTGAAAAACGTGGTAGCATGTTGATCTGGTGTGAAAATGAGCCAAATCTCTTCTGAGGTTCATGAGATATCTTGTACTCTTGTACACAAGATTATAGGTTATCAAGGACAATGGATATATGTATGCATGCACACATTCATGCACAGTGATTACTATATACGTCTCTCTCTTTTTTATTTAATGGCGTATATAATTATCAAAGTTTCCAAAGATCACAGACTCCAATTTCTCTTGTTACAAAAATGTCATATCATCTGCAAACAGATTACAAATTTCAAATGGTAGACTTATTGAATGTGTACAAATAGGACAAAAAATGGTATTGAGTACTTACATTGATGTGACAGAGGTAAGTGATGCAAAGGACTCTGTTGTTAGGTTGTCAAATACATAATTCTTTAAATACCTAAAATACAAATAGATCAAATAGCTCATCATATAGAACGGTACTAGAGCTGGGATTAATGACATGGAAACAAATGATACATTAACAATAACACTAGTGACATCATAAATACACAATTCCTCATTGACATCACATGACCATTTTGATAGAGTAAAACTTAATACCTGTCAGATGGCTACCTGTTAGCCATTTTGTTTTCTAAGCAGTCCCAAAATCAAAATTTATCAACTATGAGACAAAAGGAATCTACGCATGAAATTTGAAAAAGAATCATTCAGTACTTCTCAAGAAACAGCAATAACAAACTTTCGTTGTCAAAATCCAATAAAGTCACTGTAACTTTTCATTTTCTGATCTGTCCCAAAACAACAGGGCACAACTATTGAACTGGATGAACTTACATATAAAATTTGAGAAAGATCCATTCTATTCTTCTCAAGAAACAGCCATAACAAAAATAGTTAATGGCCAGTAATTTGAAAAGCCTATCATCTGTATGATTTAGCAATAGTGGGCCAATAACACAGCATGCTGAACATTGTATTTTTTATTAGTTTTTCTCTGTCAACCTACGTCTATCAATTTTCTCTCAACTGTTGTCCATTAATTTTCATTAGATTTTTCTTAAGCATGTCACAAATTATGATGGAAGCAATATCAGTCAGTTACAGACCATACCTATACAGCAATGATAAAGTACAACTATTAAACCCACCACAACAGAGACAGTTTCAGTAGATATACCAACAAATATGTGTTTCACCTGCAAATACTTCATGTAGATTAATATTTTGGACATTGTTTAAAACAGACTTACACACTCCCGGAGCAGCCAGTGACAACACGGTCATTTTCATTACAGCTACACCCTGAGCAGGTGCGTCCAATGTACTCACTAGAGGCTAGATGGTAGTTGCCTGCAGCTGACGTCGTACTATCAGACCACAAACCCCAGAACGCTAGAAAATTACAAATGGTAAAGGTTATTGATGTGTTTTGACCACAAATCCCACATCCAAGGAAATCACAGGCACAAATCAGCATTGTCTTTTGTCCATAGACTTCAGATTACCAGAAATTGCATTGTCTTCAACATCTCTGTCCTATTGGCAGATTTTCGTTTCCTGTTTCTCAATGCTTCATCATGTTATTTTTCACACTAAATGTTGGTCTGAGATATTGCTCAATGTAGAAGAAGCATTACAAGGTAATTTTTGATAAGAGTGAAAAAATGAAATATCTGGCATATTGGCAGTCAAACTATCAGAGATAATTTAAGTCTAGATTTTGTAACACATGTATTCTCTTGAACGATCTGTTTGAATGGAAGTAGAAACAAGTAAATGGCCACAACATGGATAATATGTTCGTAGGATCAAAATAAACTCCATTTTTAAAAAAGTATTATAAGGTATTTTTTGATAGGAGTGAAAAATGAAACATTTTGAATTTCAAGCTGAAAGAAAGATTAACGATTCTTTAACTGTAGACTAAATACTTACAAGGGTAACCGAGAACACTATATCGAGAATTCCAGAAATCAGGTCCTGTCCATGCTCCAATACTTGTTACACACAGGAACAAAGTGACAACAACCACTGATAGTCCAATATGTCCCTCCATACTGTATTCTTACTGAGATAGAGTTGTCTACCCTGTTATCCACATCATTTAACCTTTAAAAATAATAAAAAGGAAGGTCAAAATTAACACTGAAAATTTTTTATTAAGATAATTAAAATGTTAAAGGTTATTATAGAGCTTACCTAAATGTATCTGGTCATGAAAAGAACATGATTTAGTCATTTTTAACTGCCAAGCATGAATTCTGGAGGCAAACTACAGATCAATGGAATCTAAATGTATTGTTTAGGGAGATCTCAACTTATCCTGATTAGAAAAGTCATGAAGTTGGTAAATGTGAGGCATGGCGAGTGTTTGCAGCTAATAATCTTTCCCAGAGAAATGAGACACCTCTTTCTCACCACAAGGAGGTAAATGATTATTTTTCTCGTTACTTTGCAGCTCTTATGTAATTACATCAATGTTATTACAATAGCTTATACATAATAGGCATTGCTGATGTGACATTCTTATGAGAGTGGATTCCTCAGTCTCAACTCATGGGTGGGACAAGGAAGTATATCACTCTAGTAAAAGTGGGGATCTGAGTGTAAAGGAAACATTTGGAACCTATAGTGTTTATTTGACAACATATACAACAAGGCATGGTCTGATGACAATAAAACCCTATAGGTTACAAAATAAAAAAAAACGTGTGACCACAACCACGGAAAGTCTAAAATTACCATATATAATGATTATTGGTTTGTTGGTCAGTTATAGGTTTCATGTCTGCTTTCTCTGATGTAATCAGTGTTCATCAGATGTGAAGAGGGAGTGTGTGTCCTGTGTAATCCCTGCCTCCTATAGCCCTGTCCATTCTGTATGTTGCCAGAGACAGGCCAGCTCTCTGAGATGTAGTGTCATACAGCATAACTTTAGGGTCCCTCCAGTAACCATATGTGATTAGAGTATCTTATTATCTATAGCTCAGCCACATTACAGCTACAGGACATGTAAACTGGTAGTCGATACATTACAGGTAAACTGGTAGTCAATACAGTACATGTAAACTAGTAGTCAATACAGTACATGTAAACTAGTAGTCAATACAGTACATGTAAACTGGTAGTCGATACATTACAGGTAAACTGGTAGTCAATACAGTACAGGTAAACTAGTAGTCAATACAGGACAGGTAAACTGGTAGTCAATACAGTACAGGTAAACTGGCAGTCGATACAGGACAGGTAAACTGGCAGTCAATACAGTACATGTAAACTGGTAGTCAATACAGTACAGGTAAACTGGTAATGTAAACTGGTAGTCAATACAGTACATGTAAACTGGTAATGTAAACTGGTAGTCAATACAGTACATGTAAACTGGTAGTCAATACAGTACAGGTAAACTGGTAATGTAAACTGGTAGTCAATACAGTACAGGTAAACTGGTAATGTAAACTGGTAGTAAACTAGTAGTCAATACTGGTAATGTAAACTGGTAGTCAATACAGTACAGTTAAACTGGTAATGTAAACTGGTAGTCAATACAGTACAGGTAAACTGGTAATGTAAACTGGTAGTCAATACAGTACAGGTAAACTGGTAATGTAAACTGGTAGTCAATACAGTACAGGTAAACTGGTAATGTAAACTGGTAGTCAATACAGTACAAGCAAACTACAGTACAGGTAAACTGGTAGTCAATACAGTACAGGTAAGCTGGCAGTCAATACAGGTAAACTGGTAGTCAATACAGTACAGGTAAGCTGGTAGTCAATACAGGTAAACTGGTAGTCAATACAGTACAGGTAAGCTGGCAGTGAATAAGGTAAACTGGTAGTCAATACAGGACAGGTAAACTGGTAGTCAAACAGAAAGCCTGGATAGTGTCCCTTGGTATGTCAGCAGAGCCATATGATACAGTCAATGACAACACTCATGGGACAAGTTTCAAAAGAATTCAACCTAGATCGTTTTTCTTTTCAATTTATATTTATCTCTAAATTTTACATATGGATTGAGGTCATTTTCACCTGATATCAATTGGAAATCCCCGGTATCCAGAGATAACAAAATTAAACAAAACACTGATTTACAACAGATATAAATCACCAGCTTACACTTGAGACTAATAAAGTGTGTACCATATAACATCTCCTTGACTGGTATTACTGTACTTGTGATAAACACATGTTTTACTACCATAACCCAATTTCCCATTATTGCTACCAAGACATGGTTAACTCAACATGATTATGTGATGTTGAAAAATGAATTAAATTTGTTGTAAAAATTATTAAATTAAACCATTTTTTTAACAAATTAAGAAATAATAAACAAAAACAACTTTTCAATATAAAGATATCAAAATTATGTAAGATAATGTCAAAATTGGGTTTTTGTTTTTTAATGGTTTTTATTTTTGTAGTAGTTTTAAATGCACGGGATGTAATATACACAAGAATCATCAGAAAAAAGCTATGAATTTCTCTATCATTTCATATTAAAGGTATTTATTTGTTGTGATGAGGTATGTCTCATCATTGAAAATAAGGAAAATAACATTTCATCCAAATGACAGTCACAGTATATCAGTAAATACCTTGCTTCAGGTAACTGATAATGGTTGGGGCTGTCAGTGTGAAGTTATAGCAATCAAAATCATGTAGGCAAAATATGTCTGGTCAATTTCATGGCCAAATGAAGGAATAATATTAAGCAATTTCATCAAATCTAAAGAAATTGAGTAAAAAAAATATATATGAATACCAACAGAATATCAACCCAAAACATGAAAAAGCTATAAACTCTCACAGCATTTCCATGATCATGGGACACACACTGTGTTGATCTCAGATGTAGTTGACTATAGTAACAACTATTAGCGTATTTACTACAGCAGGAGGGACACAACCAACTGCTCAACATTTGTCACACCATAGCATCGTAACATCAATGATCCATTTAATACTTCTTAATCATTTAAGTTAACGTCTTTCATCTCAGCGTGAAACACTAGGTCTCTTTAAAAGACCCAGTAATATATAACTATAAAATGATGGCCTCACAGGTACATAATGTCCACTAAAACCTCATCAGCTGAAAGGCAGAAGGACCGTTAGCAAATATTAAAGCCCTTGAAATAAAAAAGAATAAAAAGTGAAATCATGTCTGTATCTACAACCAGAGCCATATTAAATAAGTTCGATATACTTCATCATGTCAATCTAAAAGTCACAGGTTTTTTCTGTGTAAAATAAGTCTTATTTCATCAAGTCACAGTGCTTCTTCATCTTCACTTTCCATCAAGGTCAGCATACTTCTCATCTTCACTTTCCATCAAGGCCAGCATACTTCTTCATCTTCACTTTCCATCAAGGTCAGCATACTTCTTCATCTTCACTTTCCATCAAGGCCAGCATACTTCTTCATCTTCACTTTCCATCAAGGCCAGCATACTTCTTCATTTTCACTTTTAATCAAGGTCAGCATACGTCTTCATTTTCACTTTTAATCAAGGTCAGCATACGTCTTCATTTTCACTTTTAATCAAGGTCAGCATACTTCTTCATCTTCACTTTCCATCAAGGTCAGCATACTTCTTCATCTTCACTTTTCATCAATGTCAGCACACTTCTTTATCTTCACTTTCCATCAAGGCCAGCATACTTCTTCATGGTGAAGTAAAAAAAATATGTGATAAGGTGGCCTAATTCAAAATTGAGAGGGGGGGGGGGGGGGTTAAAGCCATATAGAATACAAAACTAGATTGTGGAAACAATGTGTTGACAAAAACTTTGGAAATAGTCAAGAAAGAGTCACAGAAATATTTCACTGTGCCTATCAATACTGTAGGTATCACCAACAGCATCCAATTCACCGGTGAGGAAGGAAATTGACAGCACTATGCCATTTCTTGACACTCACCTCATAAAAAAAGACTATTACACTATCAAAGTATTGGTTCGAAGGAAAAAGACAAACAGACCAATACCTGAATTCCCTTACACCAGAAGTTTGCCAAAGTACTAACTTTGCTCAACAGGTGTGAAGCCATTGTCACAAACAAGAAAAGAAATAAGAACAAAATCACATCCATTTGAATACCCAGGTTTGGCTATCCAGCAAGTTAACAACAAATTTGGGAAAGGCAAAGAGATGACTAAGAGACAAAACACCAACGAAACAATCAAAATGAAATGACAGGAAGTCATCCCTTACATAAGTAACCAGTCAAAATAGTAAAAATAGGAAACCTTAAAAGACTTATGAAATGTCTATATCCACCCTCGAAACAACTTACCCAAAGAAAAGGTGGTAGAGTGGGTATACAAAAAACTGTGATGCATAACATATCGGAGAAATGGGCAGGACACAGTGTCCAACTTCATGGCCATCAGAAAGACGTGGAGTTCCAAGAAGACAGAAAATTCACTAGATCAAAGCAAAAGTATTCTCAGACCCCGATCAATAAATTGGCATCAACATATCATTCCACACAGCAAAATCACATCATTGACTGGGTAAATTCCAAAATAGTCGACAGAGAAAACAACTTTTTCTGGGGCTGATCTGAATATGCCTCAGCAGACCTGTACTAAACAGAGACGAGGGGGTCGCAGACTCTCAAACATATATGACAAAGTATTAAACAAAGTATTAAAGTATTAAACAAAGCATATTAGCATTTTATTCTATTGACATTGCTAACTATAAGAAGATCTTCGAAAATATTGTATAACACTTTGGCATGTTTTTATTGGCTGACAAAATTTCACTAAAAGTAATATCATTAACATCCCAACATAAAAAAAACACATGGGTACAGAACAGGTTTATTAAACTTTGAAAAAGCTTTTCATTGTGGTGGAAACACTCTGGTCAGCCTGTTGCTACATATAAGATTTCTTTTACTCTCGTTTGTTATTATTATTCGAAAGTTACAAAAAGTTTTTCCGTAACTTTTGAAAATTAACGAACCTGAGTAAAAGGTTTACCACCCATTGTGTATAACCTCTATATTAACCATTCATTAGTTTTCTTTCTTTAGCAGAG